TAATTTCTAAGTTCTCATTTTTTTAAGGGATAAGAGACGCGGACGTAACTTCCAGCTAAGCGGCTAATTGGAACTTTAACCTCATTCCCACGAATTTTCGTTCAGTTCGCCAGTACATTCCTGTATATACCACAGTCGATACCCAGATACCCCAGCTAGCCACGTATGTACTTGTATGTGTAATTTAGATCGAAAAGCTAAACAATTATTGTACCTAAGGTGTATGAGAAGGCATAGATAATAACCAAGCGATCCGATTAGAATGATAACTGTAGATATGTACTGTAGCATATAACTTTTACCATAAATACCATTAAATAACGATTATAGGAGACATTGGCAATAGGTCTTAAGGTACATAAAAATGTATATAACTGATAAGCTGTTTTGCAGAACGTTTAAATTCGGCCTCGTATTTATGCATAAATATATATATATAAATATAACAAAAAAGTTAGCAAGCAAAAGCGTAAAAGCAAACACTAAATTAATAGCTGAAACACATGTTAAACAACAATAGTCATATGTAAACTAAATATTTATATGGAATAAAAGTATTTGTTATAACAACTTTAGCGCGTTGCCCCTGCCAATTGGATCGAAAGTGTTAGGAAGTAGTAAATTTTGCGGCGATGTTGGCCGGCTGGGCATGTTTGGAATTAAACGAGAGATACAAAATTAAACTATAGCGCTAGCAACAATAGATGTCTAGATAAAGGTAACCCCGCAAAGTGTTGCAATCGTATTAAACCATAACATATAAATCAATTGAAAAGTACGAGTATATTGTATATTACACAGATTTGTCGGCTTGTCAAATTTTGTTAAAATATAAATTGTTTTATATGTTTTACCCAATAGAAAGATATAACATTTTTAAAGATAACATAATAACACAGACGACAAGCAAACATTATAATGATTATAATAATCAAGCAAAAGATGAGCGTATGTATTTCGCATTAATGTATGAGTAAGAGTAACATATTATGTTTAAAATTCCCTACAAATAATATATCATTTTCAAAAAACTGAAAAATCAAATGACAAGAAATAATAAAAGATGAAATACAAACAACTAGCGCTGATTTTATTTACTGCCGACATTTATATGCGTCCAACATTTTTATCACGATGCGCACTGCGAAACTTGGTAATTTTGAAACATGGAAACATGAAAATTAAACGAAGAGGGCAGTTTATCCAGATTATTTAGTTGCCTGATAAGAGATGCTCTGAACATTTTAAAAATCCCTGCCACATTAGTCATTCATTAATTGATTGTTTCTTGTAAACAGTTTTATTTATATGTGCATGGGCTTTGTTCAAACACAAATGCATTCTTAGAAATCAGTGAATATTCATGATAATAAGTGTGTCTTATGGATCTTTATCCCTATCCTTTACCTAATTTAATTCTGATCGTATTTTCAAAAAATACAAAATATATCATTGTTGGGCCATTCTAATAATTAAACAATTAATAAAGTAATGATAATAATGGTCAATAAATCAAGCATAACAATTTGTTTAGACGCCAGCAACTTCTGCTGGGGCTGAGTCCGTCGTCTGATTGCGCTGTGACAAAATGTTGAGCGGATCCTCACTGCGTAGGTAGCCATTGTGTTCTGGGTGATGTTCGAAGACCACCTCCCCCCTGATGACCCTTACCCGGGGGCCGTGGGCTCGCGCTGTAAATTTGACCTGGCCGCAGGTGTCCGGCCGGAGGCGTCGATGGGCACGTAATCCGCTGACAACTACAAAGTATTTATCGCATCCATAGCATTTATAACGCTTCATCCCAATATGACGCGACAGATGAGAAATAAGAGTTTCCCGGTGAGTAAAATCCAATGAGCAGACCTGCAAAACGAAATTAAAAACTATATAAAACTGTTTATGTGTTAGTTTCAAATGCATACCTTGCATTTAAAGGGTTTCTCCCCGGTGTGACGACGGTGGTGCACTCGCACCTGCCCAGGAGTTCGGAAGCGCTTATCACAATAGTTGCACTTATGCGGCAACTCCCCCGTGTGAATTGACTTGTGGATGCGTAGGGCTCCAAAAGTGGTAAATACTTTGGAGCACTCTGTGCACTGGTACTCTGTGCCTTTCGCTTGATTCTTCTTTGACTTCCTTGAGCCTGTTGATTTATCATTGGTTTTCTTTGGAGCTGATGAATCATCACAAATATTTAATAGTGCGGATGCCTGATCTGTTAGGGGAGCAACAACTCCACTGCCATTTGGCAGAAATGGCAATTTATCAACATTGTCAAGGACTGGAGCATGTTGAGATATTTCTAGCTTAGATTCTACAAGCGTTTCCAATGAATTCTGTGAGAGTACTAAGAAAAAGAGAATTTGAAAGATAAGAATATATTTATATATATTTATTTTCAATATTTCCCACAACTTACTTTTGTATGGCATTAAGATCAGTTTCAGACTGTTGAACATTTCCTGGCTTAAATCATGCTTTGTAGTGCAGTGAGTACGAAGTGCACAGAGCTTCTCAAAAGATCGCTTGCATTGCGGACAAGTCCACATAAAACGATAAAGTGGATGCTTGGCCTGCAGCTCCTTCGCCACAATTAAAGACATTGGATTGATAATCAGTTCAATGGGCTTTGGTGCCTCCACGGAAGCAATCGATGGAGGTGGCACTGGGATAGCCTCCTTGATCTTGGAAGTTTGCAACACTGTTCCCGGCAGAGGCAACGTCTTTTCTATGCGACGAATTTGATTACGAATTTCTGAAATGATCTTCATCGATTCGGGCCTGCTTTCCGATTTGTTGAACGCGTCACTGAGGAAGCAGGACCGATTGTGGGTCTGTGCCGGCAGCACAGAAACAGGAGACGGAACGGATGCATCCATCGAACTGACTTTGGTTATACTTATGGCCTGCGGAATCTTAAGGGCACTGGTTGACTTTTCCACCCCACTTGCACCAATTGTAAGGGATTCCTTTAAGGCAACTGGAGCTTGGGTTGGCATCTTGAAGATTTTTGTGTTTACCGGCAACTTAATGACCATGCAATTGCTGGGCAATACTTTCAGTATATTTGCTGCGATGGGCGTCTTTCTTAGTGCCAACGTGTCTTGAATAGGATTCTGCAGAACCCTTCTGTTGTCAGCCATCACTGAGAGAGGGATTGTCTCGCTTAAGGGCGTAACATTTGAAGTAGGCCGATCATTCCAATTCACACCTGCCAAAGAGGAATATTGATAAATACAAATCAAAATCAAATTAAATTTGAAAGTGTTTACTTTTTAAGTCCGTCTGGAATTTGTTGGAGCTTAAAGCAGGCAAGCGCAGTTTGCTCCTGAGCGGAGTGGGTATGTTTGTCCAGTTAGTACCATTATTGTAGGACTGCTCCTCAGGTTCCTCCTTAATGCTAACTTTTGGAATTTCCTCGTCCTCCGGTTCGAGTTTAACGCTGATTGAAGGATTCTTTTCAAATAGCTTTCGTACTCCGTCCTCGGAACTGAGCGGCTCCCCTTTGATTTGTACATCGCACAGCGACTCTGCAGAAACTGGTGTACCGACTGCCACTAGTTCTGCCTTGTAGGCTAATCCCGCCATGTACTGCACCTTCCCGCAGACGTACTGGTCGTCGTTCCAATGCTGATTAAGGCTCTGTTGGGACTCAAAGTGACGACGACAAATGGCACAAACAAAACGATACACGTAAATGTGCCTTTGCATATGGGTGGCCAGACAATCCGCGTCTCTGGCCAAGTAATCACAGACCTGAAAATAGCTTTTTAGTAAATAAAATAAAAATTATTATGATCATAATAGCTTACCCTACAGCAGAAAACATGTCCTGGCTGAGCGTGCTGGCGATATTCGTGCTCGAGGGTCTGCTCTAGGGTGTCCAGCCACATGCCACATCCCAGGCGACAGAAATGACGGTTCATTTCATGGTTGACTTGGTGGCCCGAGATCTCAAATTGATTTTCAAGCACGTAGTGACAAATGTGGCACTTTTTTGGCGTTATGTTCTCCTCCAAAGACACCTGTAACTGCAATGAAATGCAAAATGTAAACTATTTTTGATCTGGACAAGTTTGCTTAATACAGATAATTTTTAGTTTTTAATTTTAAATGATATACATATTAAAATTAACCAACCCAAAAAGAAATTTATAAAATTGTTTTTCTCTTTTTGAGTTTCGGCTACAAGTCGTATAAAACAACATCTTGATTAACACATTTATTTGCAATAATATTTTACCACTTTAAATATTCCCTCCTATCTAATCGGTTTTTTATAGAACTGCCTATGTAAACATATAGAACAACGCGGTTGAGAAGGATTTAATTGAGCAAAAGTGGTGAAATGATTATAAACAATTTGTACATACATATGTACATAGGGGTCACAATTATCAGAATCACCCATTCGTCAGAATCAAAAACTTATCCCGAAATTATACCGATCCTCCTCTCCCTTGTGTGGGCGTGCTTTTGAGGTTATATTTACCTGTTGCGGATCGAGTCCGAGGCTGGCGATGAATTTGCGCTCGTCCTCCGATTCCGGGCGGTCCCTGACCGGCAAGGTTATCATGTTGGAACCCTCTTCAAGGATTTTCAACGTATCACATGCTAAAGTTTTGCGAAAATAAGCACAAATTAAAAGTTAACGGTATAGTGCGTAATAGAACAGCGACACCCATACTTGCGCACCCAGCTGCACACACACACACACACACACATACCCCATGTGAGCGGAGAGCAAATTGCAAGCTTACCGCTTAGAATGTCGATGGCACTGTCCTGCAAATCGTCCTGCGGCTCCAACTTGACCTCATCCACTTCCATTTCCTCCTTGACCAAAGCGAGATCCACGCGCATTTCTCCGTTTTTGAGGATGCATGCAACAAATATACCGCTGCGATCCGTTCGCTGATCTATCTGGCTATCGATAGTTGACAGCGTTGCCGGACCTCGCCAAGCGACTATCGCTTAAAATACACATATCGATAGGCGAGCTAAGCCACCACCACTAACAGTAAAACGCAAAAAAAAAGTGAAGTAAACAAAACCGAATCCTTTGAAGAAATCAGCGCAAATCTTAAGATATGAGCAATAGCGAGGACTCGCAGCAGTATCTGAACGACATGCTGGTCAAGGAGGAGGACGAGGCCTCCGGTGGTGAGTGGGAATTCAACTGCGCACTGGGAATTTGCCTACAAGTTACTCTGATTTCTCCCCCTCCGCAGACGAATCGGACAAACAGGATGGGGGGATTATGCTGCGCGAACAGGACCGCTTCCTGCCCATCTGCAACATCATCAAGATCATGAAGGTGCCGGTGCCGCAGAACGGCAAGATTGCCAAGGACGCGCGGGAGTGCATCCAGGAGTGCGTCTCCGAGTTCATATCCTTCATCAGCAGCGAGGCCATCGAACGCAGCGTGGCTGAGAATCGCAAGACGGTCAACGGGGACGACCTGCTGGTGGCCTTCAGCAATCTGGGATTCGACAACTACGTGGAACCACTGTCCATCTACCTGCAAAAGTACCGAGAGGTATGTGAGCCCACCTTCCACCACCATCAGCTCTAATCCAAGCCCCCGTTCCATTGCAGTCAAATAAATCGGATCGCAATCTCTTCCTGGACGCCGGCTACCCGCATAACGAAGACGGATCTTCCGCGAACGAGGCGGGAAAGCAGTAGCCTCAGGCTCGCCAACATTGGCAGTTCATCTTCCCAACGTAGTTTTGGCATTAAATTAGATTCTTAGGATAATTTAAAGCGTTTCTTTATATACCGAAGTACTAATCTTTTTTAATTCCTCTTACTAGCTTTTAAAGTATAATATCTAAATCCCCTCCTTTTTATTAATATTTGTTTAATCTTTACATCATCTTTGAATATTTTGGAACAAAGTTAGAAAATTAGCTTTTAAGTAAACACTTTCCCGCCAAAACTATCAATTAGTGTTTAAGTAATATATGTCATCTTTTTTTTTACAATTTGTAACTCTGCACTCTCCCCAACATTTAGTCAAACTCAAGTTATAAGGTATACATATTTGTAAGATTAATGGATATAAAATGTGACAGATACGAAATAAGAAAAATTACCCATAATATAACCAAAAATATCCAAATCAGATATCACTTTTCAGTGTTCATAAACAATACTTTTGAAAATTTCAATAGTTTTTTCTTTTAAGCTATTTTTTACTGTCGTCGGAAACCGGGACGGCAGTTTCCTAGGCCTCAAGGCTTCTCTTTAACTAGGATATCTGGCTGAAAATCATCGTCTGATAGAAATTCCTCTTCGCTTTGAGACTCCTCTTTGACTTGGACTTCTTTCATTGGAAAGTTTTCTTCTGTTGAAGTTTCTCCTTCCATTGTGAAATTCGAATTAATTCTATGCTTCTATTTCCCTATAATAAAGTATTACAGTTTTACAAGATTATTTTCTTGATACACAAATAGTTTTAAACAAGTCTTGTTTGTATTGGCAAAAATCAGCTGTTTGACCTGCCAACTTGTGTTTCAGATTGGATGCGATGAGAACTTACAACACGAATATCGTATACAAAACCCGTTACTTTTAAAATGGAATATTTAAATTTTTAAAACGATGTATGTCAAATTGGAATATATTAAAAAGAGAAACTTACCCGTTTGTAAAATTCAACATCAAACTGGTTAACTTCTCACTTTAAAAAACTCAAATTCTTATGAAATTACAAAAAAAAAATTAATTTGAAAAACAATTACTTGCTGTTTTCCGATATTCTGAGCCTATCCCCCCAAAATAAAAGCTTTATGTTTTATTATGATTAACCCTCTTCAATTCAATTAGTTTCGTTTTCATTAATATGTATATTTAGAAAAACACCATCTATTATTGGGTCATCTTCTACAGGTCTACACATATACGCTCAAGGATATTACATAATACGTATGTATCTATAGTTTATATATATATATGTATATGTGTATATGTATCATGGAAACTAAAACACATTTCTTTCACAGTTAAAGTACGATGTATAAAAAGTAAAAACAAAAACTTAAGGAACATTGTGTGTGTTGTTTGTTTCTTTGTATGGCATTCTATCCTAAAGCCACTTACGAGTTAATAACGCATTAAAATCACCGGTAGAGACTACATGGTAAAACTAGAAGACGTGATGTGGCATTGGTACAATGGATGTACAAAAAGGTCTACAGTTAAAACTAGGCTAAAATGATTCCTTGTGGGTGGCCTAAACCAGCAGCATGTCGTCGTTGTCCAGGGGCTCGTCCTTGATCCGATTGCCGATTGTCGAAGGACCAGTGGCATAGTCGCTGAGGAATATGTTCGTATCGTCGTGGCCCAGATGCAGCGTGGGAATCGCTCCCGGACGCAGTTCATCCGGCTGGACAAAGCAATGGGACTCGAAGTGACGACGGCAGATGTGCTTGGAGTGGTCCCACTTGGGTATGGCCTCGATCTTGAGATTGTAGCACCACTTGGCGCGCTGATTGCGCTGCTCCGGAAAGTCCAGCATCGGCAGCTGAACGTTGTCCACGCCGCAGACAACGCAGCTAACCGTCTTGTCGGTGGGCAGGTGAACCGAGCAGATGTGTTTGCCCCGATACCGCTGCGTATCCGTGAGCCTCAGAGCTTGGCACCACTGCCTAAGCAGCGTGGGATCTACAAAAAATAAAAGATTTGTTGAGTTACAAATAATTTAAGTAAAAAAAATTCAAACTGAAAAAAAAGTTAAATTTCTTGATTTTTTATGGCATATAAGAAAGCGCGATTAATTTCTTTACTAATTTCTATTATAAAAATTAAAAAATTAAACCCAGTTGTCAATTTGTACAACAAAAATAAAGTTGCTTTTATTATTTTGATTATACAAATTGTAAATAAAAATGGAAATATTTTTTAAACTAATGAGGATATTATACACATCTTTCCAAAATTAAAGTACAAATATAACAAAAATTTTTTTGATAAAAATTAAAAGTAAGAGTTATTGGTCCAAGTTTTGTTATAAAACTTGACAGACAAAACATATTTTTCAATTTATAACAATTTGTTATAACAATTTTATATTAAAAATTGGAAAATAAGTTTCGTTTTATAATAAAACTTGAAAAATAACTTTCTTTTGATTTTAATTATACTAATTAAAAAACATGTATTTATTTTAAATTTTTACCTTAAAAATAGAACAGATTTAATAATTTTTTTTTAATAATTGCAATGGTTATGGTCCCTAATAAAAACAGAATATCCGAGTTTCCCTTGCAAAAAGTGTTTCACTTACCACTGGGAAACTTGTGCAGCTTGACGTTTCCATTGTGATGGCAGTCGGCCATGCAGCAGGTGGCCACGGGGACGGGAGGATCCGGTTTCCGCTTGACAGCAGCCGGCGCTCCCTGGGCACTCAAATGGCGGGTGGGAATGGCGTTGCGCATGAGGCGCCGCACTCCAATCAGCTCCGGCTCGAAGTGGCGGCTGCAGATGAGGCGAGTGTTGCGCTGGGACTCCTTGAAGACCATGCCCGTGGCCAGCTCCCAGTTGCGGATGGAGATGCGGTTGTTGGGCAGCCGGAAGAGCTTGATGCCGTCACCGCGGAAGGCACGGCAGTAGGGCAGGCAGCACTGCTTGACCTTCCAGGGCGGAACCTGACCCGGAGGCCATGGGTCCAGCTTGGAACGCCGCTCCCGCTTGACGCGAACCTCCGGCTCCAAGTCCTCGTCACACTCATCCTCCTCCTCCTCCACCTCCTGCTCCTCCTCGTCTTCCTCGTCCTCGTCCTCCTGCAGGCCATCCTCGTCGCCATTGTCGTCACCGCCTTCGCTGTCCGCCTCGCTGCGATCGGTGGACAGATCCCGGCATTGCTCGTTGGTGAAGATCTTGGCGGGCACATTGTCGCCCAGCTCCAGCGTGGGCACCGCCCACGGGCGCAGCTTCCTCAGGCTGATGCAGTGCGGCTCGAAGTGCACGCTGCAGATCATGAACTTCCAGGGCCGCCGCTCGTCGTAGCGGATGCGGAGGTTGTGCGACCAGCGCTCCTGCTGGCGTCTCGACTTGGGGAACTTGTAGATGTGCACGCCGTGCTGGGATCTCTGCCGCTGGCAGTGGCTCAGCGAGCACTTGTCGTAGCCGGACTTCACCTGGTTGTAGTACATCTTCTCCTGCTTCTCCTGCTTCATGGGCAGGCGCAGTTGGCTCTTCCACTTGGACTGGCTAAAGGGCATCTCCACCTCCTCCTGGTCCTCGTGCAGCTGCAGTTCGGGCTCTAGGTACAGCATGGAGGAGTCCTCGTCCTCGTCCTCCTCCCTTTCCTCCTTGATCTGCAGGCCACTGGACTCCCGATCCATTCCCGTCCGCTTGTCCAGCCGCATGTTGATGGCCTCGAAGTCGTTGTCGAAGAGCTCGGCAGGAGCCTTGGTGCCCAGCTTGAGGGTGGGCACACTGCCGTGCACCAGTCGCATGTTGACCAGACACACCGGATGGAAGTGGGCACTGCAGATGCGATAGCGCCAGCGGTAGTAGGGATCGAAGGGCACCTGCGTGTTGTGCTGCCACTTGAGACACATGTCCTCGGAGTGGGGGAACTTGTGCAGCGTCATGTTCTCGGTGGTCAGGTGATTGCTGCAGCCCTCAATCTGGCAAAACTTGCTGGACTTGCGGGGAGGAGCCGGTGGCGGCAGGCACAACTTGGTCGGCGGCTCGTGCTCGTCCTCCTCCGGCTGGAGATCTGCCGCCAAGGGTGGCGGCTCCTCGGCCTCCTGCACGGCGAATTCATTGTCGTACAGCTTGTCCGGTCTGTTGGGCCCCAAAAGGAGCGTGGGCATCGCACCCTTCTTGATCCTGGCACTCTGGAAGCACTCCTGGTCGAAGTGGTAGCTGCAGATGCGATAGCGCCACCAGAACTTCTCGTCCATGTCGACCTGGGTGTTGTGCATCCACTTCTGGGCGGCCTCCGCGGAGGCGGGGAACTTGTGCAGCTTGATGGTCCCGTCCACATCCTCCACGGTCACCTGGCATCCCTCGACGGCACAGTGGTTGGCATTGTACTGATTTCGAGTGTTGGCGGTTTGGTAGTTGGCATGCTCGGTGGTGTCCACCTTCTCGTAGCTGTCCATGCGCTCCACGTGACCCACCTCCAGCAGCACCTCGAGGGCCTGCATCTCCTCCAACTCCTCCTCGGACTCCACGTGCTCCATCCTCACAATGGGCTCCAACAGGGAGTCACCCTCATCCTGCAGCTCCTGCAGCTCCTCCTCCACGATGGCCTCTGGTTCGTGGCTCAGTTTGGCCGTCATCTCCAGCCACTCCTCCTTGCTGGGTATCTGATGCACTGGCTCTGCCGGCAAGTGGAGAGTGGGAACGCTCCAGGGATGCAGCCGTCGGTCGTCGAACGAGCACCGTGGCTCAAAGTGATTGCGGCACACCTTGAGCATGTACTGTTGCTGCTGCTCCGAGATCTCCAGCTGGCCATTGTCCACCCACATCTTCAGAATGTCCCTCCGTTGCGGCAATCCGTGCAGGAGAACCTTGTCCCGGGGCCGGATCATGTTGCAACCCCTGACGGCACAGCTCACGATCTTGACGCGCCTGTTGCTCCTGGCCAAGTGGTAGTTATCCTCGAGCAGGCGATCTGGAACATGCTCCGGGAAGCTTTTCACACTGTGCTCATACAGGATGACGAAGTGCAGTGGACAGAGCATGGCCACACCACACGCATTCCCATCTTCCTCTTTGTCCAAGTGACGCAGCCAGGCTGCGCGAAGGTGTTCCTCCTGCGGCAGATGGAACGACAAGTTCTTGGACAGCTCCTTGCACGCGGGATAACAGCAGTGGGCCTCCGTCACGTGGGCACGCTTGGAAAGCTTCAAACTCTTGCCCAGACTTTGCTTGTCCGTGTGGAAAATGTCCGATGAGTCGTGACCCAGCTGCAGAGTGGGCATTGCTCCGAAGATCAAACCATTTCTATCGAAGAGGGAGTCCTCGAAGTGGCTACTGCACACCTTCAGCCTGCCAAGCTGCTCCTTGGCCACTTTCAGTCGCAGATTGTACATCCATTTGTCGGCCAGGGCCCATACTTTGGGGAATCCACTGAGCGGAGTGTCTCCCGGCTGCCAAATACGCCCGCATCCGGGGGCACAGCACACCTCCGTCTTGGACTGCCAAA